TTCCTACCCCAAAAACTCAAAAAAATTTTTTTTCGCCGAAACGTTGCCTATAGATGTAGTTCGATGCCCTGATCACGAATATCACATTCGTTTTGAGCGCTGGCGCCATTTGGCGTCATGGTGCCATGTCGGATTCGTAATCAGGACCTCAAATAACCACCAGATACAAGTTTTCACCGATTTCGGTGGAAAAGATGGTTGCGCCAAGGTGGCGCATAATGGCGCCAAATGGCGCCAGCGCTCAAATGTGATATTCGTGATCAGGGCATCGAATTACATCTATAGGCAACGTTTCAGCGAAAAAATTTTTTTGAGTTTTTGGGGTAGGAATAGTTCAATAGTGCCGAACCAGCTTTTCTATAGTCACAAAAAGCATTTTCCAAGAAAAGCTAGTCAAGTGTCTAGTCGCTCGTGCCCCATAAGACTCCGTCACGAGCAGCTGACAATCGATTTTCTCACGGCAGATGATGCGCGGAGAGCGCGGTGCGATTTCCGTGAGCGTGAGCGTAAGCCTTTGACTCAACCTTAGATAGCGTTCAGACTTCGCGGCGACGCGCTGTAACGCGCTCTGACGCGCAGCATCGACGTGCTATCACTACAGTGGAGCTCTAGTATTATAGAGGGGAACGCAGCAGCACACGGGTATCGATCGGTGCCGGCCGCTTGTGTTTCGGGAGAGCAAGGATAGCGGGAGAGCCGTTGCACTTGAACAGTCTGGTACCCTCTTATCACCATATACTCTCTCGCAACACAAGCGGCTAGCGTCAATCGATACCGGCCTGCGGCTCCGTTCCCATCTACAGCATGGAGTGTGTCAACGTGCGTAAGCGCAAACTCTGAACGCTGCCTTATCACGTCGCTGTTCAACACTTACTTTACTCGTTCTGGATGTGAACAGCTAAAACAGCTCCATCGATTCGACGGTCCGTCCAGAGAGAAGCAATCGAAAAATGAGGCTTCTTCCAACTCCTTATATAACTTGTCCTGTTCCTGAAACCTTCCAATCTGATCTCTGCGGTTCAGTTTGATGGACAATTCTTTTAAGTTCGAGCCCGCTGATTTCTAACTGACCTTGACAGTAGGAAAGGCGCTTGTCACTAAGGTTACAAAAGCTCGCTCTTTAGTGATCCGTGCCGGAAGGCATTCCCAGCATCGAGCCAACGTCAGAAACGGAGCCGAGGATTGCGACACCACACCGCAACCATTCTCGATCGACGTCGATTGCATCTGAGGAAAGAAGTTTTCAAAAAATTACAGTTCCTTAATAGAGGGGGGGGGGTGAAGACTACCGCCACAATGAAGGGAAACATTCGAGAAACCAATAAATTCAATCAAGGGTAATGAGAATCGCCTTATTGCAGGGGAATACGTACCCCTTTTCCAGCCACGAAACAGCGTCGTGTTGTTAAAATCCACCCTTCCTAACTACGACCCTCTCCGTTTAAACCTTAAACAGAAGTGTGCCTTGAGAACTGGTTATGCGTAGAGTTTCGCAGCTCTTAATTCAAAGTTACATGGGGAAAGCTCACCAGCAGCGCGTACGCGGTGCGCACTATCGCAACAGTGACCATGAAAATAGGCTCAAAAGCTAACATCCCGCCGTGGCACGTCAAGGACAACAAGCTTCTTGGTACTTTGCCAACGCTGCAGAGCATTAGGTGATAGAAGGGGGGGGGGCACAAGATGAACAGTCGACAACTGTGGGACATGGGCGGAAGCCGGAAACCCTATTGAGGGACGGGACACTATTTTTCAGGAGGACACTGGTTGGCCGCGCCCTCGGAAAACGGGTCTCTCTGGAAGATACCATTAGGAGCAACAGGCCAAATCTTCACATATTCTGCGGCCCTCTGCCTTTGCATTAAAATACTAGCAAGCGGAGCGAGAGAGTTGGGGGGGGACAAGATGGTACCCAGTGAAGACCTGCAATTTCGGTGACTAAAGTTGTTTACTTGCTCCATTTTGCAGCTTCACAGTGATTAACTAGTCTCATCAAAATTAGACTAGTTGATTGACGTAGGTTTACAGAAAAAAGGAGAAATGTAGTACCCCACCCCCTTCCTCCTCCCCCCCCCCTCTCCGCCCCAAGCCGACCTAACAAGCTTTTGGAAGAGACTCACCTGCAGAAACATCAAATGTAACCAAACAGGAGCAAATTTTGTTTTGAAAGCAAACATATAGTCATCGTGGAATGCGCAATAGGCACTATGAACTTGGCAGGAGAAATGCACGATCATTCGATGCTTTGAGCCTAAAATGAACATTTGAGGTAGTGCGTGATGAAATGAAAAGCAGATAGTCGAAAAAGCATTAAAATCAGGGAGCAGTAAGGAACTGAAAATCCGAAAATCAAAAAATAGCGAATCCGTTGCTCGGATTAGCTGGGCCACACCACCACATTAAGATATCTATCAACTCCGCTTATCCTTTTTCTTTAGAGGAACATCCCACGCTCTTCGTATGGGCGGAGTCTCGTCTATCATTTTGCCAGCGCTCTTCCCCACTTCTATTGGGAGGAAAGGCGTCTGATCACGGCAACCATCTCCAATGATCAGCGTGAAAGCGTCCTTAAGTCGCGCCCTCAAGTCCCAAACAAAAACTTGCGTTACTTTTTGAAGTCCCTCCAGCGCGGTACACTGATTGGAATGGGGGAATCGAGCGGCCACTTCGGCGACATATCGTCGAATTTTATTTCGGCGATGATCGACGAATTGTAGCACGACGTCAGAGCGGTCGACGGACTTCTGAAAACTCAGAAAAAAAAATTAGCAAATTCGCGCGCTCAGTAGAAGATGCCAGAATGCGTAGCCGAAAATCGATAAGCGAACATCAAAAAACAGAGGAGTGGATCGCTTATATTATGAAGTTGTCAACAGATTTCGCTGCCGTGAATCAGGTTGGAAATTGGAACGCAACGAAACTAAGCACCGTCCCCCGATTTCGTGCATTTACGTGTGTTCTTGTTTGATGGTTGAAAAGCCCGCGAATAGGTGACTGCGCAGTTTAAGTAACATTAGAGCGTGCGGAGGCGACGCGGTTTTGTTAAGTCTGCATCTGATGGCATCTAAGTATAGTTTTAGCAGTGCCTTCTCCCTCAAGGATTTTCCTTTCTCACAATGTCGTGTTCAGTTTGCATGAATCCTGCCGCTTCGCGATCGCGCGCGGGCACTATCGAAAAACACAGCAGCGTAATTACTCAAAACGGGCACCGGACAGTAAATATACTAGACTTTTTGAATGACAAACTAAGCCGCATCGCAAATGCCGCAGGAATCAAAGAACGCCGCGCTATTAGGCCTGGGGGACTTTTCTAGTTCGCTAGTTTCTTTTACTAGTTCATACTAACTTACCCATTTCACACTAATGGCACTCGTAGACTCTCGTCAAGTGTAAAAAATGTAAACGAGGTTCGTGCTATCGCATAGATTCACAGGAGTAAACAGGTCTTTACAGGAAGCATCGGCAACGATCGATTGGAACTAGCAAAATGCCCCTCCAAGGCGATCTGCGCTGGAAACGTCAAATATTTATAAGAAAACTTACGGCCCATTGCCGTTCTTCCTCTTCACTGAGTGGATGCATCTTGGTTGTGGTCACTGGGCCAGAATTCGCTGGAAACGTGGTTTCATAGGCTGAAGCCCAGTTTGCCGCTCGGCGATTACCAACCACAGGACGCACACGACCGTCTTTACCGATCTGAAACTGGTACTCGAATGGATGAGGAAACATTAGCGCTGCACCATTCAGGCTAAGAAAAGCAACAATCATCAGTCATGGGAAGTTATGGGATAAAAAAGTCATGGAAAACTGCAATCTGAACTGCGTAGGTAATGAGGCTGATCGGAAGGGTTGCCTGACGAGTTTCCATGACGAAGGGCGCCGAGATTTGCGGACTTCTATAAAAACGTGCCACTGGAAACGTTTGGGTTAACCTCTACTGCACCATGGGTAAGCTAAGGCCACGACTTTGCTCCTCCTCCCTATAGTAAGACCCATT